GTAAATAAGGTAAAGAATAAATTTTTTTGTCAAATAAAATACAATTCCTTAGATTAAGTCCTACAATCTCTAGATATTATGTGATGATATTATGTGATAAAGTTAAAAAAAAAAAAAAGAATTCAATGATAATTAACTTTAAACTTCTGTTTCTTTTAGTAAAGGTTAAACTCCTTTTTTCGTCCCTCAACTATTGTACGAACCCCCGATTGACTCCCTCAACTCAAAAAATCTCTGACTTGGTCCCTATAGTTTACCATTTTTACCTTAAGTTGGTCCTTCCATTAAAAATCTCTCCATGTGTACTATTAATTCACGGTAAGATGATGACACGTCAAAATATTAACTCACGTGGAAGACAACATGGCAAAAAAATAATAATATGATAAAAAACTAAAAAAAAATTTTTTTTTTCCTTTTTCCTTCTCTTTTCCTTTTTCTTTGGGATCCTGGGTTCCTTGGAACTCGGCACTAGGTTCCAAGGAACCCAGGCGTTGGTTGAACCCAAACATTGGGTTCAAAGAACCCAAACATTGGGTTCAAAGAACCCAGGCTTGGGTTCCTTGGAATCGAGTTGGTTTTAAAGTAACCCACTTGCCTGGGTTCGACAAACAAAGGCTCTAGGTTCCTTGGAACCTGGCGCTAGGTTCAATTGAACCTAGATTGCTTGGGTTCCTTGGAACCTGGCATTGGGTTCGACTGACCAAGTTGGGTTCTTCGACAAAAAAAAAATTATGTGTTTTTATGGGTGTTTTTTTTGATGATGATGATGAAGAATTGATTGATGAAGAAAGAAAGGAAGAGGAAGGAAAAAGGGAACGAGGAAGGAGAAAAAATTTAAAGAAACCCAATGCTAGGTTCGATCGAACCCAGGCGTTGGGTTCTTCGTCAAAAAATAAATAAAAATTTTCTATTTTTGTGGGTGTTGTTTGATGATGACGATGAAAAATTGATTGATGAAAGAGAAAGGGAACAAGGAAAGAGAAAGAATTTTTTTACTTTTTATTGCCATGCCACTATTTTTTTGCCATGTTGTTTTCCACGTGGGTTAATATTTTGACGTGCCATCATCTTATCGTGAATTAACAGTACACGTGGAGAGATTTTTAACAGAATGACCAACTTGAGGTAAAAATGGTAAACACTAGGGACTAAGTCAGGGATTTTTTGAGTTAAGGGACTCAATCAGAAGTTCATACAATAGTTGAGGGACCAAAAAAGGAGACTTTTTGAGTAAATAACTTTTAAATTCAATATTACTAGCCATTGTAGATCTACAATAGCAAAAATCATATATATATGGGGTGTTTGACAGAAATTTTGCTCGATGATGGTGACCGGCTCCTAGACTGGGGACTGAACTTAAGGTTGTGTTTCGTTACCCATTTTTTAAGGAACTTTTTTGGGGAAGCCATGCAAAAATGACTTGTACTATGTCTCAAAGTTTTTTAAGAAAATTTTTCTTAATAAAAAATCTTGAAAGAAAATGTCCAAAGAAAGTTGCAATATAATCAATCAAATTTCTTTTGTAATTAACTTTTCTAGCATTGATTTTTTAATACCAACTATCTAAATAGTTTAGTAATAATTTTTTTTAATTGAAAATAAAATATCTTAATTTTGACTTGTATAGCATGCGGTTGAGATGTAATAAAAGATAAAAAGAGTTGTCTCTTATTGTGTAACCAATATTAAAAAAATATATATTGATCTTTAACCCCAAAAATTGATTTTCCTAACCCAAGCCGGCTGAATTTAATTTTAATGCTTCTTGGGAAGTGACCAATACCAAATTAAACACCACCTAAAGGTTAATTATATATGGGACTGATTGATTCGGGACTCCAATAACAGCAAAGGTTGGCATACGTGCCTGAAGGAGCCATTTAACTTGCTAATTCATGAATATGCAACAAAAATTGTACACTGACAACTGTGGTACTGTTGATTTAAAGCATAATATATACATTTTTTTGGTAGATTGAGAACAAAAAACTCAAAGTGAAAAGCACCCGAGTTTTGCGGCCCAACTGTTATAAATCAATTCGTAAGTTACATCCACCAACGCAAGGGATAGGATTCAAATCCCGCCACCTTGAACTGTAAACCGTTCAAAAAAAAAAAAAGCTAAAAATGGAAAAATTAGCAAATTGTTGATGTAAAAAAACTGGAACAAAAAGATTCGTTCAATGACCCACTCCAGGACTGGGAACTGATCCCAGTATCCGATCAATTCTGTCTCCGGTAGCCATAGCGTGACGTCCCGAGTGGCTAGGACCCGAAGGTCGTGTTGTTCCCTTAGGAAGATCACTTTGAACCAAACCATCCTTCAAAAAAGATACCCCTCTCATCCTCTCCATGCTCAAGACCTTAATTTTTCTGGCTTCCGAAGATGGGACATGAACAATTAAGGCAAAGAGGAAGATAATAATCAAAATTGTACTGAAAGTTATGAACCGTGAGGCCATTTTGAAATGAAGTGAAATGAGAGGAAGATGAGGGATTAATAAGAAGAGTGGTGTATATATGTGCTTGAATGGCGCCTTTTGTTTGGTGTGACGGTGCTTTGGGCTAGATTATGTATTTATAGGAGGAGAAAACAGAGGTTTATTAGGGGTCAAGTTTATTAGTTGGGGGGCGAAGTCAAAAAGTTTGAAAATAAACAATGTCATATTTTGGCAGCACAGTCAGGGAATCTATGTGGAGGGTGCCTTGTGGAAGTTGAATCACCTACAAGTGACCAAGGCCGCCGGCCATTCCCATTCTGCCATCGAATTGAAATACCCTGTCATTGTCTGCAACTCTCCACTCCATTCC